CACGAGAAGCAAAAAAAGTGGAAGGAAAAGAGCAAACGTATTCGGGGCGCAGGGGCTGGTAAGCGAAACGTGATTGTGCTGCATACGGGCACGAGGTCTAAACGGTAGCGAGAGTCGCACGGTGGCTGAGGACAGAGAACCGCCCGCTGTTTATGCGGAAGGGACCCTGGAGAGCGGAACCTTGAACTGGGGGGTAACAAACCAGCAGAAAATGGGGACCTCTAGGAGGATGAAGACAGGCGTTGTGAAGAGACCGACCGATGTCAGTGAGTTAAAAGCAGCAGGTCTCGGCGGGGCCAGGACAGGCAGGAAGCTGCTGGCCTCTCTGGGTTTATTTTACAATTCGTGACGCGTATGAAGCCAAATTGCACTCGATTAGCGGAGATGGATGAAATAATCCATGCACGGAAAGACTGATCTCCAAATGAGAACGCTCCCCGGCGATCAGAAAGGGGGTAACGCAATGAGGAAAGAACAGGAGAAGCAGAAACACATCTTCACCAAATCGCCAGTGGAGAGAGAGTCCACCCCGTAAAGACAGCAGAGAATTCTTCCAGAGGAGATGGAAAGATGAGCGTGTGAAGAGCCGGCTCCTTCCAAAACATTTCTGAGGAAGAATTGAAACATTTCCGAAAGTAACCTGACAGCCCTGATGTTCCCGGTGGGGCATCTGAATGTGCCCCGGGGACCACCCAGGAACTAATGATGAACAGACCCCCAGGCAAGGAGGACTCCCAGGCAATAATGGCACAGGACGCAGGGTCCAGTGCCCGGCACATCATGTGAGGACCACAGACAGAAGAGTCCTCCATCAGTCCACCCCCCTCCTTAAGCCAGTGCGTCCTCCACAGAATCAAGACAGGGCTCGTCCTGGTGCTCCATGAACGGGTACATACTCAGGGCCTTCTCTTGATCCAACCCTTCCACCTGAACAGGAGACATGTCACCCCAGAGCAGCACCAAATAGTGAGTGCCAGGGAAGCAGCAACCAAATGGGGAAAGAGTCACCCAGAAGATAAAGGTCTGTGTGCAGTACTAGCCTCCACCAAGCCGCTCAGGACATCCCTCGACATGTTTTCTTAACATGTTCTTGCCAAGAAAGGCTGCTGGAATTACTCCACCACAACGATGAAGCCCAGGTACGAGGAGACTGAGCAATGTGCTTAGCTCATAACTAACACAGTGCATAGCCCAGCCGGTATGGCTCAGTGGTTGAGCATCGACCCGTGCACCAAGAGGTCGCCGGTTCGATCCCTGGTCAGGGTACATGCCCAGGTTGTGGGCCCGATCCCCAGTGGGGGGCATGCAGGAGGCAGCCAATCAATGTTCTCTCATCGATGTTTCTACCTCTCTCTCCCTCTCCCTTCCTCTCTCCTTAAAAATCAATAAAAACATATTTAAAAAAATAAAAATGAGTTTGGGAGAGATGAGGTTTTAGGTTCTTATAGAGCAGTCCATGGATCAATGACCTTTGAAAACCAAAGTCTAAATGGATTAATATTCTCTCCATAGGAATAGTCAGTAAACTGGAAATACCAGTGCACAGAGCTTCCTTATTTACTAGATGAAAAGAGGCCCTTCTTCAGACTTAAAAAGGAAGGGGGTGGGGCAGGGGACAGAGTCTCGGTCAGACTGCCGGCATCTAGATCTTTTACTGACCAAAGTAAGCAAAGCACAGAATAATGCACAGAATTGTCCTTTTGCGGTCTTTTAAAGCATATATCTTGTTTCCTAAATTTCTAAAGCCTAAGTATGAAAGTTATTATGTTAAATATTTTTAGCTAATACTACTAATTTTTTATTAACAAGGCAAATGGCGAAGGATGACAGGGGAGATTTTTGCTTTCCATAGTCTCCCTTCTTGTATTTTTTGTTTGCCTTCTCCTGTAGTTTAAGTTATTTTAAGACAGTAAGTTCAAGAACAACCGAGAACCTCCACCACTAACATGTTCCGAGAGCTTGACCAGTAGAGGGCGTGACAGACTCAACATGGTAAACCCGAAGGTGGTACGTCTGCTGTGCACCGTTTACAACGGATTGCACTGGTTCCTACTCCGCCACAGAATGGAAAATATGCGTCATTTTATGTTGATCAATCCCATTACCTAAAAGCCAATTGCAACAACAAAACAAAGCAAAACAAAACAAGAAACAAAGAAAGTTCATCAAATGCTTTAGCTTCTTCTTTTTTTTTTTTAAATCCTCACCGGAGGATATTTTTCCATTGATTTTTAGATAGAGGGGGAGGGAAGGAAGGAGGGAGGCAGAGAGAGAGAGAAACATCCATGTGAGAGAAACAGATTGATTGGTTGCCTCCTGAATGACCCTGACCAGGGCTGGTGATCTAACCTGCCACCCAGGTACATGCCCTTGACGTGCCCTTGACGGGGAATCAAACCCGAGACCCTTTGGTCTGCAGGCTGATGCTCTAACCACTGAGCCAAACCAGCCAGGGCATGTAGCTTCTACTTTCAATATGTCTGCTTGTCTGTACACAAGCCAGTAATATGACAACTTTTTGACAAAAAAAGGTTTCTTAGTCTGTAGAGGATATTGGCTTAACTCTTAAAATTACTGATAGATACAGAAATGATATCTATCAGCTTGATATTCTTTAATTCTCTGTAACATTATCTTGCTACATTCATAGTTCTTACACATTTAACCTGATTAACTCTGAGTTAATCCTTTAATGACTTTTCTACCTTCCACACATACAAATTGACAACAAGGTTCTGCACAGTGCTCTGGAATTTACAAAGGTCTTTCACACAAGTCACATAATAGGCAATGGGGTGGCAGGAAAGACATTCTTCTTGATACAGACGAGAAACTGGGACTCGAGGAGGTGTGACGGGATTGTCCCAGCATTACTTAGCACTTGGTGATTAAGCTGAGACACTAATTAGTGCCCTGACACAAGGCCAGCCCTCTTCCCTGCTGCCTTCTGTCCGAACCCCTGGCCTTCCCACTATGAGAGAACCCCAGCATCCACTGTGCAAAGTGAAAAAGACACGGAGGTTTTCATTGGCAAGAAAACATGTGTCTGTATGTTACACGTATTTAATACATAGGCATTGAATCATCAGAACGTGAGAATGGACATCAGGAGTACTACTAAGTGATTTCTTAGAGATGAAGTCTATGTGCTTCACAACACTGACGTTCTTACCTTTCACAAAGATGGACAAGTATTTATCACTGAAATCTAAATAATTGTCCCTGCCATGAGAAAGCCCATGGCTCTCTCTTCAGTAACAATTGCAGACTTTACCCTCCAAGTCAACCTGGAGCTCCAACAAAATGACTAGCAGCTCACCATAAGAATATGTTCAACTAGTTCCAATTATTATTTTTTTTAATTTCTTTATTGATTTTAGAGAGAAAAGAAGTGAGAGGAAGACAGAGATAGAAACAACAATGAGAGGGAACATCGATGGGCCACCTCCTGCATGCCTCCCCCCCCCCCCGACTGGGGATCGGGCCCACAACCTGGGAATCGAACCAGCGACCTCTTGGTGCATGGGTTGACGCTCAATCACGGAGTCATACCAGCCAGACCCAATTTTTTTAATAGTTCTCATGTAAAGTGGGGTGAATATCTGCAGACTAGTCAATACCTTGCTGTTAATCTTACTGTCTGCTCAGATGATTGATGAAAAAACCATTTGAACATTCCACTGATCGGTTCTAACAATGTTATCTGAAATCCAAGTACTTTGTACTTGAAGTTATCGATTTGACCTGACCAATCAAACCATCCCAACTGTCCCTCGCCACTCCGCTCTTCGACTTTCTCGGCTTCACTCTATCGTGGTTTTTTCAAATATATTCAATAAAAAGTTGATCGGGACAGTGAAAATGATACAGCGCATGCTCGGTTGAATGAGTCAATTACACACCCCTGTATTACAATTCAAATTACTGCACGTATGGACTGTAGGCCTATGTATTCGAGCGCCCCAACAATCCTTCAATGCCAGGTGCAGCCGCTAGAGTCTGGAACAGATGCACCCGATTAACGAGGGACGGCTGTACAAGGCTGCTACAGCAGAGATGATTTCTGAAGAATATGCAAATCAAACTTATTCAAGGAAACTGCTAACTTCTCCTCCCCTCCCTTTTTGCCAGTTATTAGGTGTTCTGGTAAATTTTAAGCCAACCAGGAATGACTCATGACGAACCCCTGCACCTTTGCACAAATCTCAAACGGCAATGATTCTGGTGCATTGCGGTGGCCAAGTCTCCGGTCCCCCCCCCCCCCTCTTGTCATCAGACCTGTGATTTCTGTTCTAGAAGGACAGGCAGCGGGGGACTGCGGAGAAACAGCCTGAGCCCTCACGGACAGACCCAGTCACGTGTCCATCGGTGATCAAAAATGCGTACCAGTCAAAGCCCTGTGTGCTCAAGTCACTTTCTCCTGTTCGCTCCCCAAAGCGTTCCGAGCTGCAGAGGAGGTCACACCACCTGCCCCTGGACTGTCGCTGTGCCTTCTGTTCACTGTGACCCTCCCGTAATTAAACGGGGCCTCAGAGGGACAGGAGAGGGTCTCCTTGGGGAGAAATAAGGCGACTGCACTGTGGTTGGCAGAGCAGCCGTTCCCTGCGGGGACCGTCACCCCCTCCGGGGTCCGGGGCACGCACGCAGGGGAGGGGAGGGGGAGAGTGACCCTCCGGCCTGCAGCCAACTTTGCGGGCACAGCCCTGGCGCAGCCCGCCACACCTCGGTCAAGGTCTCTGCTCCCGCACCCGGCCCTGCGGCCACCGCGTTCCACCGCGGTCCGCCCGAGTGCGCACGAAACCCGCGCAGACGTCAGCAGCGCCCTCCCTTCCAGACCCTTCGGCAGCCGTGACCGCCCCGGGCGCTGGCCCTGCCCCCTGGCCCGGCTGCAGGTGGCCAATCAGCGCCCGGTGGGAGCGGGGCTCCGTCGTGAGCCCCGCCCCCGGCCTCCGCCAGCTACAAGTAGGGCTGCGGCTTCCCCGCCCGGCACGGCTCGGCTGGACGAGAATGCAAAGTGCCATGTTCCTGGCTGTCCATCACGACTGCGGAGCCATGGACAAGAGCGCAGGCTGTGGCCCCAAGGGCGAGGAGAAGCGGGAGAAAATGAAGCGGACCCTGTGAGTGTGACTTTCTTCCCTCTCCCGCCGCCCCACGGAGGCCCGAGCCCTCGGCGTGCTGCCCGCGGGGCCGGCTCCCACTACGGGACACTAGGTAGCCGGCGCCCCTGCGGGAGAAAAGAACAATGATGTGCAGAACGTTACTGGGCTCGGGTTAAACCCGTGTGGTCTGTGTGCTGTGCGTGAGCGAAGGACTCGGGTGGAGTTTAGGAACTGAAGGAAATCCTTGGTGCCGAGGCGTGGTGCAGGCGGGTGAGAAATCCCGGGTGGCTTTTTGTCCCCCTGCGTCTACGCGCATCCCCCTTAGTCCTATGTTGCATTTTAAATTCTGATCGGCTTACACAGCTGCAGGGACGGGGATGTTTTGCTGGTTCTGCATATACTGGTTTTAAATCCACCTTTTGGGTTGTTTTTTCGTTTTTTATTTTGTAATGTAGTTGATCATCTGCTTGAAATGAGTGTTGTGGGGGGGGGGGGGCGTCACGCACACACCCCTCATTGTACACAGCTCTGGCCGGTCTAGAGTTTTCCTCTCCAAGGGCAGAAGGGACCGAGCATCACTGGCTCAGCCAGTTCCACTGATACTTCAAGTGTGAAATGTCTTGGGATGGTCATCAACGTTAGGGAAAAACTGTTGCCTTTTTCAGGCGAGAAATACCATCTGCCTTTTGAACTGTGCCAACCAAGTTTATTAAAATATCCTAGTAATTTAGGTAGTCCCTCCCTTAGATGTGAAACTAGTAGTTATGCTCAGATGAATAGAGGAAACGCATTGTGTTCAACCCAGAAGCGCAGAGATTAAATGAGTAAGGCACTTGGACCAGTTCTTGCTTTGTCTTCTTTGGTGCGTCTGTATTCCTGGGAAGCTGTGGTAAAAATGCCATCAGCTACTGTAGCAATTTCAACTGTTGCCACTTGAGTAAATCTTTGGTGTTTTGTTTTTTTTTTCCTTTTTAGATTAAAAGATTGGAAGACGCGTTTGAGCTACTTCTTGCAACATTCCTCCTCTCCAGAGAAGCCCAAAACCGGCAAGAAGAGCAAACAGCAAGCCTTCATCAGGTAGGTTGCAAATCTTGTTGCAAATCTGACAGCTAGCTGGCGAGCTGGGAGGGGAGCTGCATTTCCAAGTGCATGCATGAGCTCACGTGCAGAATTTCCCTTGCAGACCTTCTCCTGAGGAAGCACAGCTGTGGTCCGAAGCATTCGATGAGCTGCTAGCCAGTAAATGTAAGTTAACCTCTTGAATTTAATCCATTTCAAGTATCAGGAGGGTCTAGAGAGATTGTATCCACACAACACAGTAGCACCTTGCCTGAGGCAGTTCCGTTTGACAATAACTGGAGCACACGGCCTGTTTTTTCTCCTTTATTTCCCAGTGCTGAGCCATGGAAATAGATGGTTTATTCAAGCCGGGTGGGGATGAAAATTAACTTTAAAAAGTTACAGTGGCAGTTGGTTTTTGTTAAGGCCGACTTGGCTTTTACATTGCATGGGAGGTTTTCAAGAGGCTCAGTTCCCAGAGAATTTAGGGCTCCCTATAAATATTTGCATTGACAGCAGAGCTAAGTATTTATATCTCAGCAGCAGTGCCAATGTAAGCATTTTGCCTACTGGTATCTTAGTCTTTAAAGAGCTAAATTCTGAGGATCACTAGTTGGAGTGGTGTCTAGGATATTGCCGTAATCTAGAAATAATAGGAATGAGAGGAAAACACACAAGGTAGTATTTGGTCACTCAGTTTCCATCCTGCCTGCTTTCCCTTCAGATGGTCTTGCTGCATTCAGAGCTTTTTTAAAATCCGAATTCTGTGAAGAAAATATTGAATTCTGGCTGGCCTGTGAAGACTTCAAAAAAACCAAGTCACCCCAAAAGCTGTCCTCAAAAGCAAAGAAAATATATACTGACTTCATAGAAAAAGAAGCCCCAAAAGAGGTAAGGGGAAAAAAAATCTCACTTGAGCATATTTTGAACATTCTTAGCACCAAAATGAAACAAAAGAACTCAAAAGAAGTCCAATTAAAAGGGGTGGGGGTGCAAATGTTTTTTTCCTTCTCATCCTGGCTTTCAGTTAGTTAAGTGTCTTCAGTGACTTGGCTGGTAAAGCTAATCACACATTCCAGTTTGGGGGTGTTTGTTGTTGTTTTTTCCAAATATTAAAGAGATTTAAATGTCTCACTTTGAATATGGAATAAACCACTTTTTGCTGTTGCTTGATTTCAGATAAACCTAGACTTTCAAACCAAAACTCTCATCGCTCAAAACATCCAAGAGGCCACCAGCGGCTGCTTCACGAGTGCCCAGCGGAGGGTGTACAGCTTGATGGAGAACAACTCCTACCCCCGCTTCCTGGAGTCCGAATTCTACCAGGATTTGTGTAAAAAGCCACAGATCACCCCCGAGGCCCACACTACATGAGACGAAGATGGGAAACCAGAAGCGGAGGCTCTTTCATTTGGTTTCTAAGGGGCCAGGCTGCGACCTGCCCCCAAAGACTGACCTTGGGCTGTTCGGGAGAAATCTCTCAGAACTGCCGATGCGGAGCTGGGCAGTGACCTGGCGAGCCGGCGGCCGTCCGGAAGCTTGTACCTCGGTGGCCCCCACGACTGCAGAACACAGGGAGAGACTGTGGGGTGTCGCTGGGAGAGCAGGAGCCTGAAAGATACGGACTGTTGGTCCCAAAGCATATTTAAAGCCAGGAGGTCTGGGACTGTGTGGCCCGAGCTGGCTGGCTGGCTGCAAATCTTTCCCGAAATCAGCCCCCGTCACCACACAGTGGCTTTCGTTTTAGTGTGTTTGTTTTAGTACAAAGTAACATGAACACGTTTACTCCGCGCAGGCAAAGTGCTTATGCCGACAGGTCACGGTCCTGTCGTCTCGTTGTGCTGAACCTGAAATGGTCTGAGTGGTGTGTCACGGAATGAGTGCTGTTGTGTAGAAAATGAGTGTCCCTTGTGCGTGCCAAACACTGTCCTGAAGGCAGCTAACCTCTGAAGTGGTCTTTGCATACTTTTAATAAATTTATTTTGATACATAATGTCATTGGACTGTGGGATCCAGATGTGGCTGCTTTTTATGTGTGTTGGGTCACTGGGAAGGTGGCAGATTTAAGGGCACATGTCTCTGGCAAACAGGTATCACGGAGGACGTGTCTCAGAACAGTTGCTGGGAAAACACGGTCCCATCTTTACGGTGCTTTTGTGAGTCAGGAGCGGTGATCACATCCTCAGAACCACGCTGGGATCAACTTTCTCATCTAATCTTGTAAAAACCAAGCTTGTTATTCATGAAAACAAAAGAACACTGACCCAGAGTCTTTCGTGGTGTTTCTGTTCGAGGCCAACTAGACGGGAGAACAAAAATAACATAATGGAGACAAAGGGCCAGAATGATTCATGTAACTCAGCTTCTTGAGTGGAAAAGGAAGCTAAGTGGGGTGAATGCAGGCAGCCTCTATTTCCTTGGGTTCCAAGATCCCCCCCAGAGCACAGACATGAGCTTCCGAAATAACCCACCTGAAACTGTGCGCGTCCACAACAGGACAGCACGCAAGTCAACTCTCCGGACTGCCTTGCCGTCCTCCGGCCAGAAGGACTCGGGTTATGTTCCTCTAGCTGAGGACGAAGGCAAACGCAGCAACCTTGCTTCTTAGGCTTCAGCTGGACCTGTGCTTTCTCCCTCCTTGGGAGCGGGAGGGAGGCCTCTAGCTGTCCTCTTTCCTACCGGCTATCTAGAAAAGGAACCCTGTTCTCCATCCAGCAGCCTGCTTAACGATGGCTTTCGGTTTACAGAGAAAAGGTGGGGGAGGGGGAGCAAGGCAAAAATAAAAGGGGAGGGAAGAGAGCGAAGAAGGGGGGCCTTCATCTGGGATTCCGAAACCTGAGCCCAAGTAAGGAGCTTTGTGAGCCTGGGAGTCCCTTCTTCCCTGGCCCCGCCCCTGCCAGGTTCCTGCCTTCCCTGGCCCCGCCCCTGACAGGTTTCTGCCTTTCCCTGGCCCCGCCCCTGACAGGTTTCTGCCTTTCCCTGGCCCCGCCCCTGACAGGTCCCTGCCTTCCCTGGCCCCGCCCCTGACAGGTTTCTGCATTCCCTGGCCCCGCCCCTGACAAGTTTCTGCATTCCCTGGCCCCGCCCCTGACAGGTTTCTGCCTTCCCTGGCCCCGCCCCTGACAGTCTCTGCCTTCCCTGGCCCCGCCCCTGACAGGTTTCTGCCTATCCCACTGCTTCCTGGAGGGAGGAAGGAACTTGAGAAATTGTAAAGCTTTTTTTAAAAATTTTTTTTGATTTTCCGGAAGAAACACTGACCTCTTCTTGTTTAAACTTTTTTTTTTAAGACATACTTACTCTCCCCACAGAGGTCACAGGAGTTTTCTTTGGTTTGTTTTTATTGATTTTTAGAGAGAGGAAAGGAGGGAAAGAGAGAGAGAGACAGAGAGACAGAGACAGAGAGACATTGACCGGCCGCCTCCTGCATGCACCCTACTGGGGATCAAGCCTGAAACCCAGGCCTGCACCCTGACCGGGAATCGACCCAGCAACCTTTTGGTGCAAAGGCCAACGCCCACCCCACGGTCCACACCAGCCAGGGCCTATGGTTGAAATACTGTCTTCCGGGTGCTTGCAGTAAGGGTCACCTTCATCGGACCTCCGGCACCCACATGCCCGAGCGCCTCGGCAGACATCCCCGTGTTCATGCCGGTGGCACCTTCATCGGACCTCCGGCACCCACATGCCCGAGCGCCAGGCAGACATCCCCGTGTTCATTCCGCTGGCACCGGCAACTAGAATAACACAGAACAGGTGCCCCACAGATAGTGCAAGGGTCACTGAAAGGGGCATTTCTTTGGGGAATACATCTGTCATGTCTGCACACGCCTGAATTTGGAAAGGTTTTGGCCCACAGAGAAACCCAGGAGTCATGCCACATATCCAAGTTGTCACCAAGTCTGCCTCCCGTCGCCACCCGGATCCCACGTTCCCCCATCTGACGCCTGGATGACTGCTGCCATCTCAGCTCCCCTCCCTCCCCTCCCCCTCCTCCAGCAGGTTTTCTGCTTTTCAACTCGAGGGATCCTTTCAAGACATAAAGCAGCTCCTGTCTCTCGTTGCTTAGAAACTGTTGACAGGTTCCCCAAACCATCAGGATAAAGGCGCTATAGGGTCTAACTCCTGCATAGCGTCCCCCTCCTTCCATTGCAACCTCGGCCCCAGCTGGCTCTCTGAGCCACACTGGCCTACTCCCATCCCCTTGCAGGTGCCAAGCCGACAGGTTTCACAGGGCCCTTGCACGTCACAGGCCCTGGCATGGAATGCTCCTCAGTTCTTACTCATCATTCACGTAGCACGGTGATTGTCACTTCCTCGGGGAAGCCTTCCCTGAGCTCACTCACGTCAGATCCCCTCGGAGACATTCCACAGCGCCTGCTTCTCTCCTTCGGAGCACTTGACGGAGCTCCCACTCATTTGTGGGATGATTGGATGAGCCTGGGTCCCCCTCCCTGGATTGCTGATGCCACGGTGTGAAGACTGTCCCGTTGGGCTCACTGCTGAGTCCCGACACCCAGCACCGTGCCCGGCGCACAGTGGGAGCCACACGGATGACTGCAGAATGGATGACCACACTTTCCAACATCTGACGAATAAAGCCTGGTGACCAGAAGCATCTCCCAACACACAGAGCAAACAGAACGAGGTTCGAAAAGCTCCGTGGGCACCAACGTCTGATAATATCTGCAGATGTTTTTTTCTTTCGGCAAAGAAACATAAAATACCTCTTCCTAGGCATCTTCCCTTGACCTTTATTAGGAGGAGAAGCCAGATTTCAGTCACCAAAAAAAACGAATTTTGGCTTTTTCCAGGCTGCTAAATGACAGGCTTGATTCAGGTGGTACAGGTCCCAGTGTTCTCCAGGGGAACAAACCGAAATAGATTTAAGATTAGAAAAGCCACATGCCTTCATAAATAAATATCACTGGATGTTCCTGGTGCTCAGAGCATCCACAGTCCATTCATTTTGGCAAGATTTCCTTTTTCATATATTTCAAGTCCAGGAGCATTTCAAAATATAGTCATTTCAGACAGTTCCACTGCGGGGTAGGGGGATAGTTTATTATCTGTCATGTGAGCACAGGGAGGTGATATATGAGTTTCCATGGGTGGCGTCAAGTTATCACCCAAGATTCTATAGGAAGCAGGTCTTTGGTAGAAGGGTGGTTGGTTCACACGGTTACCACAATATTCTCATCTTGGGGGGATGGAGAGTGAAGAACATTTGTCTGTATCAAGAGAGATTTTTCTGGATGGGGACATTTGGACAGGGTGGGGTCAGAGTACCCACCCTGTGCCAGGTACTCTCCCAGTTCTAACTTTGTTGTCCTGCATTAGCCCAAAATTGTAGGTAAAGAAGGACTGAGTCTGACTTTATGTAGACTGTCATCACTATTAAATGGTGAACTCTGACATGTACAGAGATTCCCGGGGTCTGGATTAGATGCTTTAGAAAGCCACTTCCTATGTCTTTGTCAACGGCAAGGAGAGGAAGTTTATCGGATCGTTGGCATCCTAGCTAAGGAGCAGCTCGGAGTTGCTCGAGGTGACAACAACCCAAAAGAGCTTCTCCTGGGACCTGATGGATGAAGAGAGGAATCATCAGCAGTCGTAAGAAGTCCATTCTAGTCTAAGGCAATAGCATGAAACAAAGGCCTGATGTTAGCCATGTGGGGCCCGGGACCCAGCTTGACCAGACCACCCCACATGTGAAAGGATTTGGCCCGGGATGGGTACAGCCCAGGACCAGACAGAGAGGCCCTGGAATGCTAAAGGCTGGAAGGCTCTTCTGAGGCAATGGGATACCAATCCCAACTGCAACGTACAACGCAACTTGGGTAGCACCAAGAAAATCCACGGAAGCTGGAAGCTGAGTTGGAACACGTGGGAATAGCCCGGATGGAAATGCCCGTGCCTGCACCAGGTTGGCGCCACCAAATAATTCAGTATCACTTACCAGTGTATTATACATCACCCACTCTCGGCAGGACCCTGTTCTGAACCATATAGGGAGTAAATATGAAAACAGGTACAACAATCCTCCTGTCCTCCAAGAGGCAACCACTGAGTGTCTAATGAAACGATGTACAAAAATTAAAACATGAGGTAGGCTAAGACGGTGGTTAGAAATACCTTTAGCAGGAATGAAATCAAGAATCAAAGTGAGCCCTGGCCAGTTGGATCAGCAGTTAGGACATCGGCCCTTGGGTCAAAAGAGTCATGGGTCAGATTCCCAGTCAAGGGCATGTAACTCAGTCATGGGTTTGATCCCCGGCCCTGGTTGGAGTTGTGCGGGAGGCAACCAATTGATGTGTCTCTCTCACATCAATGTTTCTCCCTCTCCCTCTCTCTCCCTCCTTCCCTCCCACTCCATCAGAAAGAATCAGTAGAAAAATATCCTCGGGTGGGATTAAAAAAAAAAAAAGAATAAGAATCAAGTGAAATAGCAATTTTGATGAGATTTAATAAGGATGACGAGTGTATTAATGGGAGAGAAACCATTTAAATGAAGGGAAGGGGGAAGAAGGTGACATCTTGTAGTGTGCTCTGCTATTTTTGGTGGGGGTGTATATTTGAAAGCTACCTCCTTGATTCCTTTTTGGGAAAATATTTATGAAGGTTCCTCTGGGCAAGGAAGATACTAAGAGGCAGAAGAAAGGGTCATCTATTGAGAAGGAAAGGACCAGAGAGGCTGGACGCTCAAAATCACAACTAAAGGCTGCATTTTCTTTTCCTTCAAAACAGATTTCTGTAAGACCATCCACCAGCTTAGTCAGGAAGCCCGAGGAAGTCCTTTGGGCTACCTCGGGCATCGTTCTCTCTCTATGACAACAGCAGATGCTTACTCATTGCTGTCATGCTGTCACCCAGATCTCAAGAGGTCTCAGAGCCTGTGTCCTGCTTCCAACGTACGCCCTAGACTGTCATTCCTCACATCACTCTTACGACCAGGAAAAGGCACCCCCTCTCTGGTGTCCCCCAAGTCAAGGTCAACCTCTACACCACTTGTTTTTCTCTGCCCATCCAATTCTCTCTCACCGCTGACCAGTAATAGTCACGGCTGGGTTTTCCAGTTGTTTCCCTGCCTCAGGACTGATCTTTCTTCCCTTAAATTTTACTCATTTTTCAGGTCTCACCTCTACAAAATATCACCAAGCGTGTCCGTTTTATCTTCCAACTGAATGGTCAATAACTGGACCACTCTGGCTCATTCCATTTAATTATCAGAGTAATAAGTAAGGCCCAGCCATACGCAGCACGCCTTGGTCATTCATTAACTGGTTAGCTCATTGAGTGACTATTGATCGATTGACATGCTCTTCAGTAAAAAATGAGTGCAATGATAGAAATGATTTCATTTAAATAGGCTAAACTCTTTTGCAGAACATTTCTTCCAGGAGTCTACATAGTGTTTCATCTTGGCTCTACATTTTTGCCTTGCAAATTTAGAAAGAAAAAAAACCACTAAACTATGTGGATCTTGGATAAGATCCTAACATTAGGTCTTTTTGAATCCCAAGTTAATCTGATATTTATATGGTTTAAAAAGTGCACTGACCTATATGGAAACTTCCCTTAGGAGGGAGGCCGTGTGTTTATTTAGCTGGTGTACATCTTAGGCATGTGCAGACGTCATACCAAAATCAAAATAGTGAAAAAGAGAAATGGGCCAAAGAGGAGTGTGAGGGGAACTATTTGCTGTCTGC